GTATACATGGGTATATTAAACACATACCATTTGTAACATGCACGCTTCCTTGGGACACGGGATAGTTGTTTTTAACAGCTAGGATTGATCTAAGAGAGAAAGGTGCCAGGATAGAAAGGGCTTTACCTTCACTGGGCAGACAATCCTCTGCAGGATGAGCTTGCTTGTATTTCCAAGGAAAGGTAATGTGATTCACATTCAGGATAATAGCTCTGACAAATGGATCTAAACTGCTAAGGGAAGAAGTGTTGCTGGTCTTTACCTCCCCTGGGTAAGTTATTGTCTCCTACTGAAACACATGGTCTAGGTGCTCTCCTTCCCATGTAAAAGAACTGTTGTTCTCTTTCAGGATGCCTCCTGAAATTCTCAATACATCCAAGGGTTGCTTGCACAAAAAACATTTTAGGACATTTTAGGAAACTTCTTGCTGGCCTTTACTTCCCCTTGTGATCTGGACCAGCAACACTGACACTATGTTCTTTATTTCCAAAGGGATGGTACTGTCACTCAGTTCCTGGTCCCCACTGGACCACACTTTGGAAATTTCAGGCTAAGCTTAAAAATTGAGTATGTCCAAGGATTGCTCCAACACAACAGGTGCCAGGCTGGAAAGCTGTTGCTGGCCTTCACCTCCAGTGGGCAGCCTGTGATCAGCACTTAAAAACACTGGTTCTCCAGGTTTTCCTTCCCATGGAACAATAGTTTACCTGTTGTAAGAGGGAGTGAGTGCTGCTGGAGCATGATGTGAATTAAGGGTTGTAAATGGAATCTGAAGGCCAGACAAACTTCTCTGTCCTGGCACATTGCTTTTTGCCAGTACTGACAATTTTGACTTGGGATGTGCACACTTCATTGCTTCTGGAGAATCAGGAAGGACATTCACCTCTTTTGCAACAATGCTGCTGCCATCATGTGGAGCTGAGCAACCACGACAGGGAAGGTAAGAGACCATGAGCTTTCTATTGTGACACTGTTAGTGTGGGAGCAGTTAGTAAACTGTTTGGGATCTTGGGTCTGTTAAGAGGGAAAGAATGGGAAGGTATATAGAGAAGGACACATCCCAGAGTACCCTCATTGCCCTTGATGCTATCATGTCATAAACTCATATCCCACAGTACAACAAAGAAATGCCAATCCTTGTCCCTGCTCTGTAAAAGGCCACCCCAAGGAGCATGTACAGGAATACAGGAACAGAGCCAGGGTTAGGTACCACACCCACATGAACTGACCAAGCACCAGTGTGACCAATGGCTCTGGCCCTGATACAGAAAATGCTGAAATCAAGTTTATTTCCAACCCACTCTTTTGTGGGTTGTGCCCTCGTTGTGCCTCACACTGGGAAGCCAAGTAAGGCTGTCTTGATTTAGGAATGGTACTTCCCAGATTTACTGCTCCCACTGAAACCACTCTAAACTATGAGCCACTTGCTGCTCACTTCTCCCCCTCCCCAAGGCAGAACTGGGGGCACCAAAAGGCAAAGATCATGGGTTGAGATAGGAACAATTTACTAGAGAACAGCAACAAGAGAAAAAAAAAGGAACAGTATCAATAACAAAAAGAACTGCAACCACTCCCTCAGCTCCAATTGACACTTACCTGTCACTCCCAGCCCTTGTCCAAGGTTCCTCTCCAGCTCTCACGGGCTCCTTTCAGGTCCTCTTCAAGATACTTAAATCAGTAACACTTTTAGCACAGAAAGATCAAATCTGTCACTATTAAATCATGCAACTACAACAGTATCTCAAATATCTAAACTTTGATTTATGCAGGAATGTGAATTACAATGTTCATCCTATTGTGTTCACTCCAGAAACCCAGCTTTGAAAGGTTGGGGTTTTTTTGACATCTTGGAATAGACAACCAGAATTGGCACCCAGATCATTTCCTTCACTTCCTTCCTAAAGGAACAAAGCTTACCAAGTTGCACTGCAACAACTCCTTGACAGATGAATTTATTGAAGCAGTTTTTAAAAGCAGGTATTTCTGAGTGAGCTCCATCAATCCCAGCTGTTAAAAACAACTATCCCGTGTCCCAAGGAAGCGTGCATGTTACAAATGGTATGTGTTTAATATACCCATGTATACCACATGACATAAGCATAAATACTATTCAGTATGCAAATTAATTGCTGCAGTTACCCTAAAAAAAGAGTTGGGCACACATGGAGAATAGCTCTTAGCCCAAGGCTATTACAGCTGTCCACCTGCCTTGGACCCCAAAATCAAGCCATTGTTCTCATGTCTGACACAAGTCAGTGCTCTCATGTATCTCAACAGATTTCTGAAGTGGTTTTTTGCTTACACTTAAATGCTTTTTTTAGGTTTTTTAGGACTATACTTAGATGATATTTAGTGGGAGGTGTAACATTTGAATATTTACTACAATATAAATACTTTAAAGGTTTTTTTCACCTTCATTTTGTT